TTAAAAATTATACAGGTCAGAAAATTCAAATTATAGTTTTAAAATTTCTACCTGCGAAATTTAATTTTGATTAATTTTAAATATGATATTTGGAATCAGCGTGAAACACTGCATCTCATGATGTATGGTGAAGTCCAATTGGAGAAAAGATTTTTCATTGAACTTTCTGATTAGAAGGAGGCCCTTACTGACCACCATGTATATATAATCATTGGTACTAGTTTTGCTTTGCTTCCCTCTTCTCTTGTCTTGATTTCCCGTCCTTGTTCACTTCGTACGTATGTGTTGTGATTTTGGAAGTTCTTCTTCCTTCTCTTTAGAATGGTAGAGAAGTATTGTTAGTCTTGTACATAAGATGCACGGACAGCAGGGTTAAAGTAGAATTTACTACATTTAATTTTGATTTTCACTCGTTTGCACACCATTCGATAGAGAATTGAATGGCGATCTCAGTCATGTGTTTCCCGGCTCCAAAAACCGTCTCCATGCTGAGATATCCTCAGAATACCGGTGCCCTGTCAAAAACTCGAAAAAACGACGTTTTCAATAAAGTGACTGTATTTTTTCAGACTTGATATTTCGGAATTGGAAATAGGTTTTTCGGGTTCAGAATTGAAAACTGACTCTAGAAAACTATCTCTCGAAGCTGCACAACGAAAAATAGATTTTGGACGGAGTTCATCGTTCTTCCCAGCAAAGCTGACCATTTTTTCGACTAACTCTCCACCTAACCCTGCCATTCGCGACGACACTTGACTCTATTGGTAACCATGTGACACCATCATTTACATGTATTCATAAGGAATTGTTGAGACACTCAAGAGAAAAATATTTTACTTCTCTGCGAATAAGACACGTCATTAAAAAAAGACATGATGAGTGACACTTTGGTTTGGGTTATTTCTAACGGTATTTTGACTCAAACAGGATGTAATTACGCAACTTACAGTATAACGTCATCGTCGTGTATGACGTGTTAAGAATCGAACACAAATATAACTATTTGGTTCGATTCTGTCATCTGGTATTTTCGCATTCTCTTTTTTTCTTTTCTTGCGTTTTGCTGATTGACAAGAAAAACATGACCAAAGACTCAGTGTTGTCCTCGATCACCAACAAGAAACCGATCATTGCACTCGATTGTGATGGTGTTCTCCTCGATCACCATGCAGCTTTTGCTCAAATCTACGAAAAAACATTTGGAAAACAATTAACTGTTGTTTCACCTAACTCTTTATTTGTAAGTTTAAATTTTAAATCAAATTTTCTGCTTCATAATGCCAAGATTTTTATCTAGTCTGCTAATATGTACGGTGTTCAATTTACACCAGAGGAAAAATGTCAGTTCTATGCAGTATGGGATGATATTGCATGGCGAACAATGCCTATGCTTGATGGAGCCCTCCAGGCGTGTCTCCTGTTGCATCAAGTAGGCTATGAACTTGTTTGTGTCACGGCTATGCCACCAGCATTTACTGAACATCGTTTGGAGAACTTTCGCTTATATGGATTTCCGATCGATCGAGTGATCAGTACGGATTACGACAGAATAAATCCGAGCAACAATCCAAAAAAGCAAACTATTGAAGAGCTACATCCGGTGGTATTTGTCGATGACAAGAAGCGAAATTTCAAAAATATCCAAGGTGTACATACCAGATTTGTCTATATCGATCGCCAATGCCACGATGATCCCGAAAAAAATGAAAATATCTACTACGATGTCAAATATCCAAGTCTTTTGGCTTTTGTCAATGACTTTCTTCAAACCAAACATGGACAAGAAATTGCTTGGACCGAAAGACCCACTTCTCTTCTTCTATCTACTTCGTAATGCATCGCATGTTTTTATACTCAAGAAATATTAGTCCACTGTTTAATATGTCGAAAGATCTGAGCATTTGTAATCTATAGACTCTATATATAGTTGTATATAGTGTGTGTTAGTAGTTGCACTCCATTCGATAGAGAATTGAATGGCGATCTCAGTCATGTGTTTCCCGGCTCCAAAAACCGTCTCCATGCTGAGATATCCTCAGAATACCGGTGCTCTGTCAAAAACTCGAAAAAACGACGTTTTCAATAAAGTGACTGTATTTTTTCAGACTTGATATTTCGGAATTGGAAATAGGTTTTTC